TATGTATGCAGCCTGTTGTATATGTGTGATATCGACGGCGGGGACTGGCGCTATTTTTGTAATATGTGTAGTGCATGCTTGTGCAATGTTGCAAATCGCCAGGTATGAAAAAGAAATAAATACACACATTTGGATTTTTTAAACATCTTACTTAATATTTCTGAAGAATTGATCTACAGAAGAGAGTGATGGGCAAATATAGAAAAAGAGAGAGAGCAAATGGGTGGGAGAAAAGAAGAGAGAGAAATATAATTAGTATAATGGAATTTTTTATAGTTACCGTATCAGGCGAGCAATGGAGATCGATACTCGACAACAGATTAAGCAGAGTTGTCAATTTATAAACCAGCGAATCACGATGTATAAGGGCATTCTTTTCGCCATTGATATTCATCGGGAAACCTTAAAGTTGGTATTTATATAACAATAAATATATATGATATTAATATAAATTAATATTAATATTTCTCAATTGTTTCAGTTTTTGCGAGTTCATTTCATCCGCGTTTAAATTTACAATATGTTTCTCGGCAATACTCGGTGTGATATGTTTGAGCTTCAATATGTTTCAAGTGAGTTTCGTCTTTTTCATAACTATTCCGTCTCATATTTCAACACCTTAGCGCACCACACATAATTAAACATATCTAAAAAATTTATCACCGTGACATTTCAGGTTTTTCAGGTTGTTACATTCGGTGGTAAGGTCGAGGAATTCTTCTTGCATTTAGCGTGCATAATTCCCATTCTTGTATACATGTTCAATTTTAGTTACTTAGGTCAAGAAATTACAGATGACAATGACAATGTATTTCTCAGCACGTAAGCAATATTGTATAATCGTGCTCGTGATATATGAGACGCCGTTCTATAAATTTAAGATGAAATTAAATTATGAAGAAAATATTTTATACAAATCTTAGTAAATTTTTTTATCTTTCTTAATCATGAATTCATAGTTCAATACTTCTTTCGTAGGTACAATGTTTGTTGGTACGCAGCACCACTCAGTATACAAAAATTGATATTAATTCTGTTGCAAAGAGGCAGTAAACCGTACACTTGGTCTGCTGCTGGATTGTTTGTTGCATCTTTAGAATTTTTTACCAAAGTAAAGAACACAGCATGTATACTTTAACGTGGAATATTTTAAAATATAAACAAAAATAAATTCTTTTGTTACAGTTGACAAATACATCGTTATCTTACTTTACTGTCATGTATAACGTCCAGAAAAGATAAGAAACATCATATTGTAATAAAAATTCTAATATTTTTACGAAATATATATATATATAAAAGATAGATATAGGGATAGCTTGTATCCCTACGACTGTATTCAAATGATCTTCTAGCAAATTGTATAGCGTTGTAGAAAAAAAGTTTTTAATGTAATTTTGATTTGGTGCTAATAATTTTCAAAGTCAAAATTTGTTAATATCTTTCACGTTTCAACAAATAAAATATTTAACTTTAGGCGAAATGAATGCTGTTAGGCTACGGTGATGAACTATTTAATATTTCGAGAAACTTTTAATTCATTTCAAGGTTGAAATCAACGTAGCACTTGCCTTGATCATAAAAAATAAATAAAATGTAAGTGAAAATATATTTTTATCGGAACAATCAATTGATATTGTAAAAAATATAATTGATAAAACATATCTCTTTATACGATTACTTCGGCTCTTCTCAAAACCGATTACTACGCAAACTTGAAAGTAGTGACTTACAACAGTGACCATTTAATACGCTTCTAACTTCATCATAAAAAATGTGTTCAAACTACTTCCTAAGCGATTATATATTCGTGGTAGCAGAATAGTAATTTGTAATTTTTCGGATAAGTTTGTGAACTCTCTGTCTTGTCCAAGGAGAGAATTCTCTCACTGTCAAGACGGATGAGTTCACAAATTCACCCAAAAAATTACGATCAACCTTTCTGTCCACGGCGAAGCATATTACAACGAATTAGATTCACTCAAAAGAACGAGAAACGATAATTATAAGAAAATTTAATAGGTAAACATAAATATACAAACCCGCTGGTAACCCGCTCTTAACGCAGCACTGGATTAAATTTAGAAATCGCTGTTTGTTCTCGAAGATTCAAGGAAGCTCCTCTATTTCGCCGGCGATGTTTCTGTAAGTGATACAACAGTAAGATCGATCAAGCAACGTTTCTGTTGGTCCGAGGTGTGTACCTCGCGAATGCACACGCTACAATGAGACGCGGGAAGCCGCGAGGCTGAAGAAGACCGACTGCGTTTGCGTTGACTTCGATCGAAGTATTATTTCGCGGCTATTATTTCACGTGAAACAAAGGACCGTTAAATTTCGTTGGACAATTTGAATGTTTCACTGGCAAATTAAATTACGAGTGTTCCGAGTTTGCTCACGATAGTTCGTGCCGCCTTGCTCATTCCTTTCATGTGTCGTTTGGTATTTCGCGGTAAAAGAGAAATATGCACTCCAAGAGGGAAGTTGCAAGAATATTCGATGAGGACCGATCGAAAGAAAAAGACACGCTAAATTTTGCGGACGGTCAGACGCGTCCCGATGCTCGCAAAAAGATGATCTATATCAAGATTCAGCATTTTGGTCTCAATCAGATTCTTCTGCTCACGATTGATTCTCAATCAGATTCTTCTGCTCACGGCTTATGGCCTTACCAACGATCGAGACTCGTTCAATTTCAAATAATTCTTTTTACTGCTATCATGGCGAGCTTCATTATATTTCAAATATGTCGATACTCTTAGTCGTGTTACTTCGCGATAATCTCTTCATTGCCATTTTTAGCGAGTCTTAGTTTTCGCGCGCATATTGTGAAGAAGTGTAGTCTCGTTTAGCGTCGAATTTGATTTAGCATCCAAAAAAATATAATTTTATTCTTAGCAGATATTCTCTTACATGGCCTTAAAAGGAAATTTATCTACATAAAATTAAAGAAAAATATCCTAAGAATAAAAAGAGAAGAAGAAACTCTTTAAGAAAAGGCCTTAAAAGAAAATTCATCTAAAACCAAAAGGAAAATACTTTGAGAATGAAAAGAGAAAAAAGAACTTTAGTTGATTAATGATTCAAAATTTTACATTGTTGTTCACGAAATGGTAGAGGAATTTTGTGTTTAGTTCGATGAGCTCGTATAATGAATTATCGGATATCCTGTATAAGAAGATATCCTCTAAGAATAAGATATTTTTTCGGATGCAAGTATCGTTGCCTCACATCGCGACAATTGTATTCTATGTGATCATGCTTGCAGATCACAATATTCGTCACCGCGGAATGCACCCCTGATCTCGTCATCAAAGTCCTTCTCTCCATATTATTTTGGACTACTCTCCTGGTTAAGTACTACACGTTCCAGAGTAACGTCGAAATTGTATGTCAAGAGAGCTTATTGTTCCTTTACTGTACGAATATAAGCGTAATAAACGAATTCTTATCGCACATTAACCCCCGCGAGTAATAGCCCGTTGTAAATTTCTCCATGTGAAACACGTATATTATTGTTGATGCAACAGATGAAGAATTCGTTGGAGCAAATTCAACGCGTTTGCGATGAACTCCAAGACACGGGTGAGATATACATCATAAAGAGATATGGAAACATCGCGAAATGTTACACATACGATATCACGTTTTGAGTTCTTTGTTTTATATTTCTTTTTTATGTATAATTATATAGCAATCTATATAACTTCTTTTGAATGCTATTAGTGCTCTGCCTTGTCCTGATAATTCTAATCATTTCCGTACCAATGTGGCCTCGCATTCCTGCCTATGAATGAATTGAGACCGGTTAAGGCGACACAAGTCATAAGCGAGTACTTTATCGATAAAAAAACATATTTCTATCCGATTCTCCTACACTCGAGCATAACTATTTTTATAGGGACGACTGTGTAGATAGAGACAGGGGCGAGACTAATAGGATACTATCAACACGTCTGTGCCATGTTTAGGATCACCAGGTGAAGAAACGAAATTTACGGAAAGCGTCAATGACGTCCATCTTAATTTCCATCTTAATTCTAGCGTTTCGTAAATTTATCCGCGAATCGCGTATAAAAACATCGCAAATGGAAGATTGTTTCCCCCTTTTGGTGAGAAGGAAAACGCAAATATATTGTTTTTTGAGCAATTATATTTCGCGGCAAATCATGGTTATTGTTTCGTGAGAATTCTAATGTTTTTCTGCGGGAAATGTCGGAGCGAGGGACGAACTTGATAAGCGTCGATAACGTAGAGCGATCATCAAAAAGTAGAAAACGTTATCATCATTTACCGACAAAATCGAATTTATATAAGCATAGATATTTATGAAATAAAGACGATCGTCAAATAGGCGCTAACATAATACCGCTGTCATTTTTTCACAGATGTTATGCATGTGTGTGTGCTACGTTCTCATTTCAATTTTCTCAAACATAAATGTATAAACATAAATGTGAATGCCACGTTGCCGATATTCGCATTCTCTCCAAAATAAACTCTTGCTACTTTTTCTGATGAATTCTTCAAACTGCTTGTGTATTAGGTGCATCACAGAAAGAGTTTTTAGAAAAAAGTGTTGCAGGCGCAACTTACTTTGCGAATAATTTTTTGAAAAATACGTTACCTATTATTTGAATTTTATAATTAGCAATATAATTAGCAATGGTAATTTGAGATATCATTTTCATTTCGCACTGACCAATGTTATACTTTGATTTTTTAGGCTTTCGCGGTGTCCATGCATATTAGATTTGGTTTCCGGGTTTGAGCCGCGTGGATTCATCTGGATGAATGTGGACACAAAATCCTGTTCAACGAAATAACAATACTGGCCAAAACCAACAACTACTTCCCTAGGAAATACAGGGAATCCTTGGAAATTCAAAAGTATCCTAACAATCTCAACAGGGATAATGGACAAAAAATCAGTCCAATCTGGCAATCCGTCCTCCCAGTTTCCAAAACATCACAGACAACAAATTTCCTACCACCATCCTTTCTGCCCTCCTCTTCCTCCATCTCTTGTGTACTTCTATTAACACTTACTATTTCCTCTGTCGATAATTTTCTCTGCATTACCATACTAATTTAAAGCTTGCCTGCATTACCTACAGTACCCTAACTCCCTAACTCTCTTTTTCTTATGACGCCATAACTTCTAAAGCTTCGTCTACAATATGTGGAATAAGATCAGCATACGAAAAGTAAAAATAGAAATAAGAAATAAAACTAATTTATTTCACTTATATGTGTTTTCACTATCTATTTTCATTCAGTAAATGGCTTCAAATTTTAAGCATCTTTCGTGCACAGTAACTGCAAAAGAGTGTTACATTTTAGAATCTTTTTTAGAATCCCAAGTTTACTCTTCAAGCAAAAATTCACATAACTTATCCAATAACTGCTCTAAACTGCATTAAATTTCTACCAATATACTGATACGTAGCGTGCATCAACATTAAAAGAAAAATTATTCTCTTTATAGTTGGCGGATACCTCCATATCTTATTTCACTGTGCTTTACTCTACACGACATTGAAATCGCGCCGCCTACGCGACATTGAAAACATTGAAGATATTAAAGAATTGTCAACAAATCATATAGTGTAATGTTAGCAAAAAAAATTTAATTCGGCACAGTCGAACATTAACCATAATCTAAGCGGTAGATTAATCGATATAAAGAAGGATAAAGAATTGTATCAATCTAGATGCTAAGGAAATACTATGTTATAAATGTTAATGATTAAACAACGATGTTTTTGGTAAACAATTCCAGGTAATAAAAAAGAAAAAAATAGCCAAATGATGAGATAGAAAAAGAAAGCTCAGTGCCGTTCTATTCCACATAATCGTGGTTATTGGAATTTCGCGTTTCTGCATTTATGAACGTTTCAACGTACGTTCGCAAATAAATTTGGTTCGGCGCTTTGAGAGCACTTCGCTTTGAAATAGTGAAATTCTCCACCCGGTACTACAAGTTGATCGTTGCAGCATTCGTTAACATTGTACTTCTGTTTGTCCAAGACACGCTAATAAACCAAACGCATCCGGCTCTGGAAAATCGAATGGAATCAATGACCCCTCCTTTAAAATTAACTCTTAGAAACTAGTGAGAGCACACTTGAGAGATTTCGAGCGCGTGTTGCAAGCATGACGATTGATAACATAAAGCTTCAAAACGAA